AAAAAGTTAACCAATATCATACTATTTTTGGTTTTGCACACACACACACACACAATTGTCGTGAGTCCAAAAAAACTAGCCCAGTTCACAATAATGACCTAAACCGGCCATATTTCAAACCACTAACCGAAAATCGCCATAGGAAAACAGTATTAATGTTTACGATGTCTATCGTTTGAGAGCCACGGAAGAGAACTTTGATTCTGCTATCCACAGACTGAGCCGGAAACGTGAAATGAGCACAACCGAGTTTTTGTTGTTCAGTCTAGCGCGCAACTGTGATTAGAAACAAAAAACACAAATCGACTGACTGGTCGACGGTCAAANCAAAACAGAAAATAAGCTTACAACAACCGGTGCCGTGGCAGATCACAAGTGCGCGTGTACACAGGTGACGGTTTGTGGAAGGATGTACACTTTAAAAAAATGAGAAACTGTTTGTTTTTTCAAGTTTTCCAGATCTTTCACAACACTTCGACTGTCATCAACGGTGGTGGTTTTAGCAGTGGTAGTCGCAGCCACATTCATCATGGGAATCGTATTAATAGCGATATGAATGGTGAAAGTTATAGTAGTACTGACATATTTTTCAATCAGGTTTTCACAGGCTGCCAAGTATGCTATCGTTTTAGCGCCACTTTATGTGATCTGAATAGATTTCGTGTCGAGCTTATGAACATCTTTCTTATGACTCGAGACTCATCTCAATTCAGTTTGTACAACCATTTATCTTGCCCTTTCGTGCGCCAGTTTTGGTTGCTGTCTTTTGGCTGCTCATTTGTGTAAAGAATAGGAGAAGACAGGAAAGGTGAAGGTGGAGTCGAAAGGAAAATGGAAAAGTTCAGTGGTTTAAGTTTGCGAAGAAATTGAGAAGATCCAAGAACGCCACTGTTTACGACACCCAGCCATATCACTCAGTGTCTCTAACCATCGGGTATGATCATCTCGAGGTCTCCAGCCAGGGAGCCAAACGGGACATATGTGACCTAGTCTCCTGGTTTGCCTTTTCACACCCTCATAGCAGGTCTTAGCTTGACCACCGTTGACTTTCTTCCACCGACTACCTGCCTCGACGAACATCGCTCACCGTGGCAACCTATCTGGTGACATGCGTAAAACATGCCCCAACCAACGTAATCGTTCTTGTAGTTAGCGCTCGGACTAGTAATTCGTTTACGTATCGGAATCAGCACAGTAATTGTCCAACCCAGAACTAGGACTCGAAACGAAATCAGAAAATATAACTCAACAACTGAATAGAACTTTAATAGGCGGAAATTCGAAATATACTCGAGATTCACATTGAATCTAATCATATATTCGGATTGCAGGTTTACCCGTTCACGATCAGCTTTCCTTCAGCATCAGTGACGGCTGTCTCTGTGCTGTTGTCTGGATCAAGTACTGGGGACTTACCACTAATCTTCGATGAACTGCTCACGCTCTCCTGTGCATTGTATAGCCACAGCAACTCTCGTCCGACACTTTGAGGCTCATACAATTTCAAATCGACAGTCGATCACATTCGTCTATGTTTCTCCGGTCTTTACTCCCAATCATACTTTAATCTGTGCCTTTCATATTCCTGGTACTTCGAAAATGAGATCTTAAAACTAAACAGCATGATCTTGCGACGACCATCACCCGTGTTTACCACATTCAATTCCAGGATTAGGTCTATAGGGCGTGTTGTTGGACACAGATTGCATCTTGTACCACATTCAGGCCCCAATATACTTTTCTGGCACCCATTACACTCTGACCTACCCCTTTGAGCCACACACAAGAACACGTCCTGTTTACCGGTTTATTATCACTCTGACTAACATTCGTGCGAACTTTGCTGTTCCCTCTTCCGCTCACATATCAACGAATAAGGAGAGAAGACAGCGAATGAACAGCAGTCCGACCTTGTTGCATACAACAACCACGTTCCTCCGTGGTTCGTATAGTGTACCACTTCTTATTGCTTTCACCTTTTAACTTCAGGCTATTATACTTGCACATATTCAATCGGATGATAGCGAACAACTATGTTTAACTAGAATAGAACCAAGAACTGATAAAAGGCAAACCAATACAGAAGGCAATACCACGTTTTGCCCCTGCCCCCGTTAACTTTTTGCGCTCCTACTTGTGTCCTGGAACAGCCGACGTCCCCTCCGACCCATTTCTGTCGGCCTGATTGGCTGAGATTCTCCCTGTTTGGCGTTACTTAAAATCTCTCAACAATGACACGGTGCAGCTTAATCACCGTTTTGGAATGTTTATGCTATCCCACTTGTTAACTGTTGCCCAGTCGAGTGATGATAATGACGTGCCTCATGAATGTATAGTTCTTACCGAAGAATCAAAGGAGTGAACGTGGTATTGGTTCTCTCTCCCGTGACGACGACAGTTTTCTTCCAAATGTCGAACAGTGGACTGCGGAGTAGGTTGACACACTGCGACAGTACTCATGTAATTGCAGCGCTAACAGTAGTGGTTCTATCAACAGCAGAAGTGCGACGCAGGTCATGTGAGTTCGTATAATTAATTCCGTTCCGTGCTGGACTTGTTATTATCGTAGTGCTGGTTCTAGTCGTCGTCGTCGTCGTCGTGAGATTTGTTTGACGCGATCTGACAATGTCACACACACCGATTGATCACCATCTCTCGATAAACCAAAATGACGACAAATGGACTGAAACGAGTACCATCCGGAAAGGATTAGTTTTCTGATGGATGCTCCAAAGTCTCTGTACGATCAAATGTTTGTTCACAGTTCTGGAAGACACGGAACAACCGATTTTTATTTTCTACTCACATTTGATCCCCCAATACCGTTTGTTTCCGGCACCAAATTATTAACCACCCCACCTAAAAAGGAAAAAAGATAAGTCCGTATCTCATCAATGTCAGTACTAAATTCGAACAACTGAGGTCAAGTGTTTTTGACCAATATTCATTGAATGCTCATCAACACTATACCACAGTGTGTTCCCATTATCCTGCAGCCTAGGAATCCTGAAGTAGAAACAACCCTTTTCAATAAGAATTGATTTTTCAGTAAAAAGATATCGTGCGAGAAAAATTATGATTATTATTGCAGTTATTATTTGGCAAGATTTTATTGACTTAATCAGGTACGAGCCCAATTGAACTTCTGAGTAACGTGTACGACCGGTTACCGGTACTAGAACTTGGATGCCGAAAGTTTGATAGCAGGAGCGAAAGTTGTAGTCAAGGAATACGACAGTGATGCCACGCACCATTCAACGGATCAAAGTCCGCATCGAACCTCGCCACCTCAATTGGTTCAGTCCCGTGGCATTGGGTGAAACAGAAGTTAAGTTGGTCATGATGGAACTGCAACCCACCTTGAGTCATTCCGGCTGGACTGCGACGTGAACGGCTGCAAATGTGGTCATGAACTATCAAGCGCGACAATGGAACCTGGGGATTGGAAGATGTCTGAGCAATTTACAATTGAAACTGAATGTCCTACCAGACCACTGTGCTTCCAATTGTATCACGTTTAGAAACACTGACTGTTAGAGTCAGCTGTGTCGGTCTTAGCAAAAATACACAGACACACACACATGAAGACACACACAAGTGCAACTATTCACATATATGTATGGTCAAACCAGATATTATTTTCTTGTTAGCAAGATCACAACACTCGAGATGTTTTGGAACTATTCTTGTTTAAACAACTACTTTTCTTCCACCATAAAATGTCGAAATGTCTAAAATGTCTAACAGATGTCCCTTGAAACCGTACGATTTATGGAAAAAGTGAATCGCTGTCTCGACGGCCCCGGGGAAGACCCACATGCTACAGTTGAATTGTGTGTGTGTGTGTGTGTGTGAGTGTGTGTAAATCGTAGTTTTGTGAACCTGCTGTATTGTTCTTCACCTCGGGGTTCTTTTACCTCTCGTGATCTTGATTAAAACCAAGACATTTCCGGCACAATCTCTGATCGTTGTGCGATTCCACAGACCAAATACAATGCTGAACAGATTGCAATGACCATTGCCACGACAGCAAAAATAGAGTGCTATTGGATGTGAAAGGTACTTTTTCATCCTCAAACCCCGATTGAAATGCAGTCTGAAGTGAAGTGGAGATTGATGCTTTGAGAATATGTGATTTGTACAGAGATACATTTAGTGGGACTAACAACAGTAGCAGCAGCACCTATCGCAAACTTTTCATGCTGTTGATTTCGGTCGATCGGTCGGTCGGGGGGGAGGAGGAAGAACCGAGTGAAGGCTATTGGGAATCTGGTTGAATGGGATTGGGACCCCTGGAAAGTTAGTTCAACACATTCACAATTACATCACTGTGCTCCCAGAGAGGATAACTTCACCCCAGTTCGAAACTAACTGATGTGAGTGACAATCAAATTCACACTAAAGCTGTGCGTCCCGGAGATATTTTCAAAACAAGCATAAGTTTGCATGTCACTGTTGTTGTGGTTTAGGTCGTTATTCCATTACACTTTGGTCAATCGAAATATCAACCTCACAAGACAAAAGAGGACTTCACAAAACCCATGAGATAGGAAAGCAAACCGGATCGAGGGTATGCATTTTTAACACAATGGTACCCTCACAGACGTTTCACACGAGGGGGCCGAATTTCAGTTCCCTGATGGACCGGTGAATTTGCACTACTGATGAGCTTTAATAAGCATGAAACAGATCTATAGTGCTCCTGAAGTGTACGACCGACTAAAGTAACTGACGATTGAGCGAACAGATGAAATTTGAAATATGGTGTGAAAAAAACAACATTTATTCTATTTCGCCTGTTCGCCGAGCTTGGCAATTTGTTTCCAAACGTTTCATCACCAGCCGAGGTGATATCATCCGTGCTTGTGAAGTGGCCACTTGCCAAGAGAACCGAGAACGAAACGAGAACCGATTTTCAATACTTTGTCAAACAATATTTGTCCCCTATTTCGGTCGCAAATCACCGAAAGAATCTGAAATAATTCTATTTAAGGACTAACCTGAATACCCGCTTCTCGTAACGCTGTAATGGTCTCTGGCACTCCGTCTTGTAGCATGTCTTCAATACCCGTGCACCCAACAAGCAGAAAGCCTCGTTCAATTTTCTCATAGACCCGATTCATTGCCTGCTCCCGACCCTCCAACATTCCACGTGCTTCGTCCAATTCATTCTTCAGCTGAGACCATTCCACGGACGTGATCAATTTCGCCCCGATCACAAGTGTACGCAACCCAGAGCTAGCGAATTCAGTCACTCGTTCCATCACAAGAGGACCAGTCATGCCGACGGGTGGTTGATCGGTACGTGACAAGCCCTGGCACAATGGATCACGGAAGTCTTCGGACACAACGAATGCCGGTTCGGAACGAGGGCGAATCTACGCGGAGTAAGAGAAGAATACCGAAACATCAATCACGCGGTGTTTCAAACAAGTTTTATGAATAGGATAATGGTGTCAGTTTCCTATGAATTGTTTGAAACCAAACGGAAACTTTAAAAGTCGTTTGTATTCAAGAGAAATCATGGTGTAACTGTAATGGGAAAACATTTATAATTACGGATAACGCCCATCCGAAGAACTCAATCGGCCGAACTGGACCTCAATGAACTACGAAATCAGTGGACACGACATACTAAGGATTTATTATGTGAGCTTGTTGACCAAACTAAATTTTTCGTTCAGCGATTCAAGACTTCTCAATTTTTGCCACGGCCGTTTTTTAAATTTTTAAACGGTTGGCATTCAAAAGTGTATTCTTGTATTCTGGTCTCGCTCAGTTACGAAAGCAATGATGTAATTCCGATAGTTCGAAGTTTGCACAACCCAGGTTACAATTATTCACTGTTCAACGGTAAATTATTGTTAATGTTCAGCAGTCAATCTACTTTGGCACCGAACAGAAAGCACACCACACCACGATGAAGAATTAAAGTGATGACTGGATGTACAAACTAGCTAATTCCTGGAACTCGGCGGAGCATCACTGCAAAGATTTCGAAGACACTCCTCTCATGTTCACTGTAGTGCGCTTTTCGATAGAGCAGATTGTCAGTCTTCTGAAAGTAGGTCCTAGTTTTAAACACATTGATGGGGTCTTCAAGTTTGGTCGCACTGCATGTTCTTGACTAGACTAGATTATGGTAACATTTTTCTTCTTGTTTATTGAACAAATCAATACCCCATCACCGGTTTCTTATTTTAACAAATAGCGAAGACGCTGAACAAATATGACCAACAGAAACGGTGATCCCAAGACTCTTCGGCTTATCAAAGATACTCAAAGATGGACTGCCTCTCCGACTGATCCTAGACATGTGTAACTCTCGTTACCATACCACGGTTAAGTAGCTGGCAGTGATCCTGGAACCCGTGAGGACACAACTCACCAATCACACATTAAAGGAGTCCTATGACTTGATGACCAGAATCAAAGACTCAAACGTAAACGGATTAAGCCTGATATCACTCGGCGTCGGTTCCCTCTTCACAATCGGCCAATACTGTATGTGACAACATAGAAAGCAATAATCGTAAAATCGGAATACCAGTTAGTGCCCTCAAGCCATTGTTATACCTCTGCACACACATGACATACAATTTAAATTCAACGATTAAATTTACAGTCAAATAGATGTGGTAGCAATGGGGTCTCCGCTGTCTTCATGATTAAGCTGGGGAGTGACATTCTCAAAGGAACAATTGATTAGTGCGCATTATACAGTAAGTTTTGTTTTTTCGATCACAGTGAGAATCTGCCAATACTCTTGAAAGCATTCAACTCAGCAAATCCAAACTTGAAGTGCACTTTAGAGAACGAAGAGAATAAGCAGATCGCGTTTCTGAACCTTCTACTGAGTGATCGACCTATCCAGTGCATCGTCCACTGGAAACCATCATGGATTAGTCAGCATATCAATTTCAAAAGCCATGAGCCGTTGAAAAGGAAAAGCAACCTGATTCAGTGCCTAGATACCAGAACACAAGGAATATGTACTGATGATACCATTGAGAACAAATTAAGGTTCATCTGAGAGGTTTTCCTTCACAATCAATACCTCAGTTCAGTTCAGTTTGTACAACCAATAACCACAATTAATACCTAGAACGATTCGTGGACAAAATTTTGAGGCATCACCGGTTGCCAAATAAGATCATTACCGTTGAGAACAAACCGGTTTACTTATCACTATCTTTTAAGGGAGATACAACTGCCGAGATGATGACACGTAAACTGAGTACAGCTGTGGAAAAAGCATTCCTTGCAGCAAAACTTACTATCGTATTGATCTTCGAGCCTCTTTGACGCTTTCAACTCAAAAGTAAACTGCCTGTTCCTTCAGTTTCTTTCTGTGTATACCTACTCACCTGTTCCTGTGGGACAAGCTATACTGGCTGTATGAGCAGACGTTTACTTGAGCTAGTCCACGAGCACCAACCGGTTTGGCTGAATAGTGGAATGATAAAGACTATCAACAGTTCAATCTTTGCCCACCTAGACGGATTCAAACCACCTGGTTGATGTGATCGAGGCGTTTCGACCCTCTACTTGATTGGCACCCACCGATCTAAGAGGATTAGGAGTCGCATAATGGCCATAGCGGAAGCGATCGGAATCCACCTACATAAGCCCTCCTGCTCCCAAAAGCAATTCGCAAGAACACTCGGTCTTTCATGGTCAACACCACATACGACACAGCCATCTCATCACCAACCCCTAATGACCCCAAAGTGTGAGCAACATGCGGTCATGGAGCTGAAATGTTTTCCCATTTTGTCCTGTTTACTCCCCTCTACTAAACTTTTTGATCTAAATTGTGATGTATTAGCCTGTAGATGAATCACCGCAAACCAGCTTGTTCGTAAATGTGTCTTCTTTTTACAGTGCGTAATGCTGGTTCATCCGGACATATAATAATAATAATAACATGACGGTGACGTGCTACTAAAGGGTTCATAACCCGATTGACTTGGTCGGTTAACTCAAGGCCACTCAAGGCCGCTGGAGTCCTTTGCTCGCCTTGTTGGTCAGTGGGTTGCACTTAGTCATCTAACTGGCACGGCTTCTGTCTGCTAGTGCCAATTGTGTTACTGTGTTAGGAGCTTCAGTCGGTACTGTATAAAAAATATGAAAATGTCGTAACCAGTCGGCGAGCTGGAGTACCACTAAGGTTTTTGCTGTTTTGACAAAAACCAATGCTCCGTTGGATCGGTTTAGATTCTTCGATCCCAGGACGAACACATGGTCGATTGACGTATGTAACTCACCACACAGGTGGAAGTGAATGAATAGATAACCATGAATGAGGTGAACACGAGTCAATTATCTTTGGTATTCGTGAATGTTATTAACCTGCTGGGGAACGTTGTCCGTACGGTAGCTGTCTGCTGGGNCTGCTGGGATAATTGTGACAGCCACCTTTTATAGTTGTCACCTGATTATTTTGCTGCTTGCATTTTTATTTGAAAAACAATTGTGGAAACAACGTTTTTCTTTCTACTGGCGGTGGGGGTGATCCTTTTAGAGTGATTTTTTTCAGCCAGTCTTGCGTACTTTGAGCCATGTGCCTGAAAACGGAGTTACAAAAACAAGCTTGTTTGCACACAACCGCCTTTCTGATTGCGAAGCGAGAATTTTTCGTAAAGATTCCAACAGTTTATCGAATAACGTGTTACACTATACTGTCACGTGATTAATCACTCTAACTGAGTCCTCTGATGAAATCGCACACTCGAGCATTTGCCGTGTTCCGCCAACCTGGTCACCCAAGAGTCATTTACAAAGTAAAACAATGAATAATATTGCTGTTCTGATAGGAGGCAGAAAACATCTTCCAATAAATTGCGCCTGCACTAAATCACACACACACACACACACCGACTTGTTCACTTACTTTCGGTAGCATTGATGTCTCTGCTCCTTTGCACAACACAATAACCGGCGTCTCCGGTTCATCGAACGAGCCTGGACTGACCGGTTTCAGCACGACCGTCATGCATTTCCGTGTGGCATCGAATTCCAACACATCCAACAGACGATATCGTATG